AAAAAAAAAAAATTTAACTAAAATTTGTAAATGAAATTAAGCTTTGTATGTGTATGCATTTACTTCAACTGCTAGTACTGAAAAATTTTCGCACATCATTTCCCTCAAATGATTTTTTCTACCAATTAGTTTGCGCAAATTAACAGTTTGAAGGAAGAATTCTGCAAGCAATTAGAAAAGTACTTTGATATTTATGAAAAAATATATACATTTGTTTGTTATTTGGGCTGCAAATGATACAAATTTTAGAAAAATTAATTAGAAAAAAATTTAATGAGGATAACAGGCTTCAGACTGATCTTGAATTTGGAGACCGATGAGACCTAAATTTGTAAATATGAATGTCAAGATCCATTTCGAGGTTTCTGCCTCAACATAAAATCACAAAAACTTGCAGATACGTAATAACTTTATATAAAAGTACATACTTCTTATTTATAATGAGTATTATAACAGTGCTGGTCTAAATTCTATATTGTGGCAGAAATGAAGTTGGATTCCAGGTAGGCACCTATTAACGCAGTAGACGAAAAGGTAACGTATATATGAATATGTAATTTAGGGCGCCTCCCAAAATAGCGAATGCTTTTCCACCAGAATTATACGATTTATTACACCATACGACAGGGGCGAAATATAGTATAACTGCGTTTTTGGTTTTCCTTTCTAACATCAGGCTTTTTTTTAAGGACTTTGAAACTTCACAGATCTGATTTATTCAAATAATTCTTAAAAAATCAGTTCAATGTAGAATAACAATTTGTATATGAAAGAGAAAATTCTGTACAATTGAAAAATACTAATTTTTTTAGGACGAAAAGGTATCGAAAATGTCATTTAAAAATTTTTTCCTTGAATACATAACTAAAAAATTGGAATATTTGTTTTTGAAAATAATACCACATCTTCGAATTTCGTTCTTTTAACTTTATTAGGTTAAAGAAAAAGAAGAACTAAAAGATATTTTCCATTCTCCATTCGTCTGTGCGAGTAATTTTTTATTTTTTTTGAATTTTAAAAGTTTTTTGTCTCACTTGCACTGCATTTTTTAAAAATTTTTTTGAATTAATCATATTTTTGGAATTTTTGGAGGTCTTTTTAAAAAATCCTGACGTGAGAGAGAAAAACTAAACACGCTGTTTCTATTATATTACTTTTTAGTTTCATGAGCAAATAGATTTTTTCGTATGTTTTGAATTTTTTTGGCTTTTGTGGGCAAAAAATTTCGGAAAGAATATTAAGCTTTACCGTTTTGAAAATACCATCTAAAAAATCTAATTATTTTAATTTCGTTGATGAAATTTTAAGCATTTTTATTCGTACCTTCTAAACTTAAACTTTTCTATTATCTGAGGGGATTTTATATATACAAAAAAAAAAACATTTGGTTTTAGGTTATTTCAAATCGTTTCAGCTCATATACATCTCAGTATTTTTCTGAAATCTTTTGATTATTCATATACTTTTCTGTTCTTTTTGTAAGATTAACTTTTTTACCGCTTCATGACTATCGAGCTATTGAAGCACGCCAGTTACTTGCTGTATTTGTATGACTATAAGATTGATGTTATATTGTTTTAATTTGTACCTGATAGTGGATTGCATCAAGTCATTGCATTTACTAACAACTCGCCGCTTTTATAACCTACCCTAATCTGCCGCATTAAAACTTATTTAATTGCCAATATTTTCCAATTTGTTTGTCAGCGATTTAAATGGAGATGAGCAATTGAAAAGCGTGAGGAGTACTTAACTTGAATCACTTGGCTGACCTCGTCAATGACCTTAGCTGCGTTTGATAAACAACTGCTACTTTAGCTTGTTTTAGAATGAAGTTTGGAGTAGATTTCGCAAAAAGTGGATCGACTTGAAAAGTTAATTAAAAACATTATAACTTAATTGGAAATTGAGGTAATAGAATATCGGCTTAGAATGATTCATAACAAATTGTGGCATGCGTTAGTATAAATACAACACATAGGTGTTTTTGTACTTATACAAACAAACATACATACATACATACACTCATCGGCATGTATTTTCTCTTATGTACTATGTAAATAAATATTTTTTTTTTTGGTCACACTTACCAGCGCCATTGTGGCAACCACCAAACCGAAGCAGAAGGCAATTTGCGGCACCGATGGCGTATACGTTCCCCAGCCAGTGCAACTGCCAACACCGATGGCAACCAGAAAGAAGGTACCTAAAAATTCGCCAATCAGCGCACGCCATATACGTTTGTGTGTGACATCGCTGACGCCAATGATTTTGGGAATATCTGCAAATGAAATGCAATGAAGAATTTGTGAAATTGGCTAGCAAAATACAGGTAGATAGATATGGCAGAGTACAAAAATATAAACCAAAAAATCTATAAGCCCATTCTAACTATTCCAAAAAAAAAAAAAAAATATTTGGGAGTGCCCTAAACCACTTAGCTCAATTGTAAACAATTTGTGCCGCTGTTTGTAGTTAATTAAACTCATAAAGCATTGACATTGAGTCTTATCAAAATAAATTTGTTTTCGTTGACGCTTCTTTGTTTTAAGGAACATCCAAATAATAAACCACAAAGAATTCTTTTGTTGGCGGAGTAACAAAAAAAAAAACTAAATAAAACCAAAGCAAAGCAAAAGTTATTAGACCTGTAAAAGCATTTTGATGTTCAGGCAGTAAAATTTTAAATTGCCGTTGGGTAAATCAATCAACATAGTGAGAATATCAGTTTAAAACAGTGAGTGTCATTCAAAAGATAGCAATCAATTGGTTTATGCATACTCATATTCATACGAGTACTATTTCTATGCATATTTGTTTTTTACCATTGACTAAATAAGTGGCTAAATACCACACAATTTTTTATTTCTGCGTTTATTTATATTTTTTGTTTGTTTTTTTTTGCTAGCACCCGCAGAGTGTGTAAGTGATTTGTATGATTGACAAGCGTGGTGTTGACTTTATCGCAAATGTGTGTAAACCATTGTATGTATGTATGTAAGTAGGTACGCATGGCAAGCTCGCTGCAGCCACAATCGTTGTTTACTGTAATTTATGAATGATGATAAACTTTGCTTTGGCATGTAAAACTAATATTATTTACTAGTCACATAGTATTTTTATTCTTTAAAAAGGAAATAATGGAAATAATGAAATGAACCTTTCGTGCTCGATTTGTAATCCTTTTTTTTTTGTATGGAACGACCAGAGTTTTAGGACTTCTGGTGAAGCTTTCCTCCAAAAAGGGTAAATTTGCACTAAATAAAGATATATTTTTATGCAAATCTAACTTGTCTCCAGAAACTTTGGTTGTTTGGGAACGTCCCCTTCTTATTATATCCTATCCTATCTGTATTATTCGAAAGAACTTACATAAATTCCAAAAAGTTACTCATACGCGAGGGCAGGCTAGGCACCAATGCAAAGGTAATTCGTTTAAAATATGTATGAGTCAGTGTTTAGCCAAATTTTTATCTATTCAGCTAAAAAGCTATTATGGACAAGTTCAATAAAAGCACCTGAAATTTTTGAGTATCAGTGTGTCGAAATACAACCTTTTGTAGTACACACTTGAATAACTTAAAAAAATCTTAGATAATGTTTTCATTACCTCTTCAATATTTAGTTTTAAAAATAATTTTTTTTATGCACAATTACTGATACTCAGTTTAAAGAGAAAAGTGCATTATTTTTGTTAGTAGCACTGTGCAATAAATTTCAAAAAGTTGAAAGTGATGAGAATCGGAACAAAAGCATTTGATTAAGCTGGTCAAATAATGAAAAAGTACCAAAGGATTTGAAAAATTTTCACTGTAAGTTTTCTATTGATGATGAGTGAAAATAATGCGAAAATTAATGCTCTGAGCTGCATAAATGCAAAAAATCTCATACCGCGACTCATCTCTGATCATTTTGAAATTAAAATTTTTTTTTACAACAAACTGTTTGTTCATAGAAAAATTTCAAGTACGCAGTTTTGTAGCCCAATAAATTCTAGTAATAATGTGGAAGTTTCAGGAGGCTAGGAATTCGCGTTGACTTTTAATAATTTTTCTTACCGACGGTGTTATTATTTTCATCCATAACTACAAAACCAATTATCGAACATAGTAACTTTGTATTGAAAAAATGCGTGACAGTATCAGCAAAAAAAAATTAAAAAATTAAAAAGAAACGGTATTTTTAGACACTTCATACTTGAAAATTTTCGCGGTGCAACTTGTTTACTTTTTATAAATTTTGTACGAATATAAAAATTTGGATTTATGTAGATGGCCCAATCAGATGGCCGTATCATTTTGTCTCGGTGTGTACAACAGGTACATATAGTAACAGTAATTCCTATATTTTTATTGAAAAACTGTTTCCAAAAATACTGTACTGTAAACAATGTTTTTTTTTTGTTTAAATGGAGATACTGCTAAACGGATTTTTTCCGCAGTAATATAATCTGCCTTATCCTGAGTTTCGCCTGAAAAAAAAATTCACCCGAAAATTTGTCATCCGCCCATAGTAAAACCATGGAAACCAAAAGTGAAAAGTGAACCGTTTCGGGGAAAATGAAACTCATGATAAGGCTGAATATTTTTGGTCCGGAAAAACACGATAGTTAGGTATATTCATAGTCGAAGGCTGAAAGATGTACATAACATTGAAAAGTATGCGAAAAATCTGAAACTATCTTTAGTGTCCACCTTATTTGATTATGAGTACGCCGCCACATGTATTCTTTCTTCTTAAGCATTTGAAGGAAATTTTTAAAACCAAAGTTTTGAGAAATCAAAGCTGTGCAGTTAAATTTTTGGTCACATTTGCCATAAAACTGTTTATCTTAGGCATCGTAATATTTTATTTTTATTTTTAACGGCGCTATGCTTATCAGAGACACATTATCTTGGATTAGGCATGCTCATAATCATAAATCAATTTAATAATTTAGAAGTACATAAGTGTTTTTTTTTTTTTTGGATTTACCATCCCATCGCGGTATTTAGAGAGCAAACATTCAGATTGCCTACATTATAACTGCAAGATCAAATGTTAACACTATCTAATCTTGAAATTGGGTTGAGATAACAAAAATTTAAATACAAAATATTTGAAGAAGAAATGAGCAATGAAATGAGAATAGATGCAAGTTTTCGTACTTTTTAAGTTGAATTATGTAATTCTATTTAAAATGTACAGGCAAGTTTGTGAATAATTTGGTAGTAGAATGCAAAGCTGTCGTGTGTTGAAGGTACCATTAACTAAGCTGTCAAATTAAGCTTGTAACCATTCTTAAGCCGAGCCTTGTTAGGCGAAGAAGTTCTTTAGTTCTTCTTGTCGTTTATTCCAGCAGGAAGGATTTAGTCTGTCTGCTATACACCTCATTTGCTCAGTAGTGCTTCCTCCTTCATCCAGACATAGTAATTTGGGTAAACGGAGTTCCATGTAGGGCCAATGAATCCCCATTCCAGGCGAGAAAATTTGCCCTTTCATTGCCCGTAAACCCGTTGTCCGGATGATATGAGTGTCGAGAGCTAAAGGCAATTCCACACCAGCTTCTTGTGCTTTTACGGCGAGTGTATGCAGATGTCCTTGTTGGCCGCCCTCTATCCAGTATCCACTGGCTCATACATAGCTCGGATTCATCTACAGGGTTAATTTGCCCCATACTAATGGATAGAAGCCCTTTAGGTCGTAAACAGTAAACCCCTGATTCATTAGTATACCAGATGTGGCTATCTTTCGGGAGTTTTAGTTCTACGTAAATGGCACAAATTAAATAGGAAAAAGTTCATCCAAGCATATAAACAAAAATTAAAAGCGGTTTAAAAAGCATTTAACTCTTACAAAATACGTATCTTGTATGCAGATATTTTTACTTTGGAGTTAGGTGGTGATTTATGTAAGCATTTGGACATTTCTGTAGGATATCGAAGGCATATATTAAATATCCTTTTCACAAATTTCAAAAATTAGTTTATAATACACATACAGTGCCGGACTAAAGTATTGACACAGAGAATTTTTCGCAATGCTCGCAAAGTTTTTTATTATAATTGCTTTTCGCCATTTTTTTTAAATATAGTGCTTACTACAATAAAAAACATGAAAATAAAATTCTAAAACTGTGTGCAAAACTCACGAAAATTCAATAAATTTGCGTGTTAATTTACAACTTTCAAATCCGATTTTTTAGAAAAATTCTACGTATGTAGTTGTTTAGCGCGCTGCTTTTTGGATTGTTTTTTGTGGAAGGTGTTGCTTTTGTTTCTCGATAAAACAATTATTGTCGTACATACTTTGTATCGAAGAACCTGCGTGAAAAGGAAGTTGCAAATTAGTATGCAAATTTATTAATTTTTCCTGAGTTTTTAAATTTAGAGATTTTATTTGTATGGTTTTTTCTTGTAGAATGAACTAAGTTTTTATAAAAAATTATCGAAAATAAATTAGAATAAAAAAAATTTTTTATTTTGCGAAAAACTCACTATGTCAATACATTTGTCCAACCCTGTACTATGTTTGTATGCATTAAATCCACCTCAGATTAATTGTTTCCGATTATATTAGATTGTACTGCTACTGGCATCTAAATATTGCAAAAATATTGCTGGGTAGCCACTACTTGGCTTCGCAAAGAGACCATTAAGATCCATAGCGTTACCAGGTAAACTGCGAATAATTGAACAGCTAATCAATGAGTTCCAGGAGTTATGTTGAAAATTAGGCTTAATGGAAATATGTGCTTTCCAATAAAATCGTGTTATGTAATCCTCCAAATAAAGATTTTGATATTTGGGGAAAAAGTGAAGTAATAGGGGTATTCATATAATGTGATAAACTGCTTATAAACGTAAATTTGTATGCAATTAGTTAACGTTTATGTCTAAAGTTTAGATAAATATCCCAAATGATTAATTTCGGTCCATCGAATATACTTAAATTTCAAAGGAAAATACTTTCTCTGCTAAATGCTCCACTCGCTTTTCCAATTATCTTTTTTCTGGTATAGCTTTTATGAATCACATAAATCTAATTTTTAACCCTGACCACTACGTCCATTAGTAAACCACCAATTTTTGGTATATTCCCTCTTAAGTTACTTTCACATTTTGAAATGACGTATATTTCAGCAGCATCTCATCACTTTTTAACAAACAAAAATCACAAAAAAAAAACCATATATATTTTTACCCTCAGAAAGGCGATCCGTTGTGTAGGTCATTTCTGTGGTTTCTTGGAATGTTTGCTTTTGACGTTGTTCGAAGGAGATTTGCACTTGTGTCGATGTGT